TGTTGTTGTTGTTAATATAATTAGCTATGTCATTATAGTGATGGAAAAACTCATGCGCAAGCACATACGTCTCTTTGTAGCAATAATTAATTTACCACACAACATAGCATAAAATGTTCTAGTCATAAGATTCTATCAGCCATAATTTTCGGTTTAGATGGGGGACGCAAGGGAATGATTAATCGCAGTACTCCAATCATATACAAAAAGTAACTAAGCTACGCTCGGTAGTTATCTAAGCTGTTTCGGGTTCGAGATCGGCTTAACTTCATCACTTACATGCCCAGGACGAGCTCCAAGTACCAACTCAACTTACGATGATGACCAAATTATGGGTGTTGAGAAGAGGGGTAAGGGCAAGAGAACAAACAAATAGTACTAGCATAGCAATATCGCTACGTTAAGGTTCCCCACATCAACACTAAGCTAGAGAATTCTATATCATTCATAAAAATTGACGTCCCATAGTTTCTTATATTATAAATGGCAGGTTTGGCTCACATTGTTTAAATATAATTGTGTATTGAAACCGGTAGCAGAAAAAAAATGTAGTTATTTTTTTACAGCTCATTGAAGACTATTGATGTGCTCCAATCATCTCTTCATCAAGTTTTTGTCATGCTAGTTCATCATGAAGTTACACATCATAGCATTGGGATATACGTAAACGGGTTTGCGTGCCCATTCATTTTCTACAGTAGTATTTTGACTTTACGTAGACAGGTCAGCAACATCAGATAGGACACGTTGCATATGAACTGTTGCATTTATAAAACTAACTTAAAAGATCTACCAGATGTCCTAAAGATAATACCAACAGGCAACGAGCAATTTCCTTTTGCATTTTGGAGCATTCACATGTATCGTCAAGCCCATGGAAATTTAATCTTTTGTGGAGTTTATGATGGAATCCATCCATGGCTAACGACATGTCTTTTAGCCGGTTGGTCTCGTCCCACTTGGTGCTCTTCATTGCACCGGAGCCAAATATATCCCCATCACTCGTCGCTAACCCTTGCTTCTAGTTCGTCTCGGAGGCTGCAATTGCTCGGAGCTCAAAGCGATGATGTACGTGGCGAGCCGACTAGGAGATATGCGAGGTGATTTCGGGTCACTATGCTTAGTCCCAACGTCCTTTTGGGGAAAAAGGCATTGGCGCAACTAGTGTTCGGAATTCTCCATTGAAAGACCGAACGGAGCTACTCCGAAACTGAACAGATTGAGAGCGGTTAGCTGTAGCATCGTACTTCTATAGCCACTTTGTTTTTGTATGTAATATTGAAATTCGTCATATTATGTCTTGTGACATAATCATTAGCTTATGAGATATGTCCATTAAGAAAGTTCTGATTATGACAGACCTTTGAACTTTAGAGAGCCATGTGCTACACAGCGGAACTGAACAGGTTGGCATCTACCAGGTATCTTCCTCGGACGTGTGTTAGGTTAGTCTTGCAAATGGATAAACTAGAGATTAAAAATTACCACTTAGGTCTTCTTCGATTTGCGTTTTCTTGGGTAGAATCTTTTAGTAGTCGCCTTTAAGAAACAACATGAACATTCTTCAAGAGTCATATGCCTGCTCTAGCGCTGTAGCTCATGGATCTACTGTTTATCTATTATACAGGTAAGCGCCCATGTTATTCAGGGTACGGTCGAGGCATTATGGTGCCGGCCGTGCGCCATACTATGTATGGATGAATTCTTCTAATTCAAATTAGTCACCGCATACGGAATTTAAGTACCACCAGTATGAAGGAACAAAAACAAAAGATTAGAGAGGGTGGTGAATCGGCTGCACAGAGTTAAGTGCGCACAAGCCGTCTGTTTGATGGCCTTCAAGGCGTACCCGTTGCGCGCCCCGTTTGTGCGCTGTCGCACTGAGTGTAGCAAGCCTGGTAGTAGACAGGCACACGACAGCTGAAATCGCCTTAGAATCCATTCCCGTAATTTCTTGCTGAAGCGAAAAATGGTCCAGCCGTGCATAAAATATGAACACCCTTTATCGCAGTCACACACGTTTAATTGATTTAATTCTGAGTCGTAGCGTTCATTTTTATCTCTGTGCTATAGTGTAGGGTATTAACAGCCATCGCTGTGTAATTCTATTTCGCTAACACCGCCACAAACTATAAAAAGCACATGGAGGAATATCCATTAGGTACAACAAAGTTCAGACGCTACACATATACGTTTATGTACACTGTTATAGGTATTTGCCATAGTATATCTCCCATCAGTCCTTGATCAACACGACGTTCTACTTATGAGCTACTTGCTAAATTACGTATACGCACAAGTGGAACGTCGGGATTTTGACAGAGCGATAGAATAGTTTGCGAATATTTTAGAGCTAGGAATTGCATATTGATAAGTTTAACGTTTACCGTTGAAAATTTTGTACTGTAGACTTTTGCATAATAAAACCAAGAAAACTTTTCGAAGATTATTTTTAATAAACTCGCCTTCAAAATATAATAAATGCCGAGCGCACCGTTTTCAGGACAAAGCTTGTCCTTGATTTTTATTTTACTTACCCAACGCAAGCATTCATTTGGAGCTAAATCGGTTTTGCCGCTATCTGTCAAAGGCCCATTATTAGATCGACCGCCCAAGTGTCTTCACTGACAAAAACCGTCGTCCATCTTCATGCGTCAACATATTCAACGAACAAAAACTCCAACTGGTCGAAACGGTAAAATCTAACTTGGAGGTATTGTTCTAGCGACTCGGGTAAACAAAGGGCATTATGAGTTACATAGCATAGGGTCAGCGTTCAAGGGCAACTATTTAACAGTCTTTATGAACAAAGCTTTCGTCAGGGCGAACGTTGGTTCTCATTTATCTGCCCACTAATCAGCGAACAACGTTTGTGTTAGAAGCTTGATCGGTTCCTGTAGAAAAAAGAACGCCGGCCGACCATTGGTGGCGTTTAGTAATGAACTGATTTTACGGATCTGAATTGATGTTTAAGCGCCGGTTGACTTTATTCGAACTTACATTAAATAGACCAAGCTGATTAGTTGGGGCCGACCAACGTAAGTGAGTAAGTGTGGCGTCGTTGAACTGAGCAGTTCTACCACAAGATAAAGCACAAGTTGCCTCCCACACTCATAGCGGCAACAATGGTAATAACAACAGTTGGCTTTCAGATCCCGATCATAACAGGGGGATCGAAGTGTATTTCCCTGACATTTGAATAGATTATTAGTTTTAATTCATAGTTTTATTCTACGGGACGTTTCATTATATTTCATACTAACAGTTTGCTTCTATCTTTTTTTGTGGGGGGATATTGGCAATTGCATATTATTTTTGCTTTTCAGACATGTTTTAAGCAATTTTTGTAGAACTTCTATCAAAAGGTAAGTTGTAAGTTTGTTTGAAAGATCTATGATGCTAAGACGTGAAGTTAAGTTAGAAGCCAATGAAGGTGCACTGTTTTGATCGGCTTTAATAGAGTTGCTAGGTTTATTATAATTAAATTCTACGTGGTACCTAAGGCAACATCGTGAGCTCTTATCACGTTTGTAAAGCTTTTTAAAAAAAAAAACTTAGATTCGCTTGGACCTTATCTCTAACAGTGTTTCATTTTTTCGTATGATGTTTTGCATTGGCTAGATATGTAAAAGAGCGGCTTAGCGTATAGATTAAAGGAAATGCATTTTGCAAAAGCAGGTTCATTATTGTCTAAACGAGTTCGTAATTAAAAGTTTCTATTCATATAAAAAGAAGAAAACGTTACTTAGGTCATCACACGTGGTGTTTATGATATAGAGATGTTATCACTGGCTTCTTATCGAAGTTCAACTTATGACTGAAGCATCTTAACACCCGCACCCGCTAAGCCGTTTAACGACCTGGTACAATCATTGCATTTACGTTATTACTTTGAACTCTGCAATATACCGCATCAATAAAACTCTTCACTCATAGTAATAGTTTTTATTGTAAGAGAACAACAACTATTTTTTTTTTTATGAATTATGTGTGCGGTCCAGACGGTATGTCGGCATAAGGGCGGGGCTGGAGCCGCGAGTGAACGTACGCGTACTGTGAGGTGATCATTATCTTTTGTGGTAGAACTTACGTATTACGGTCAAGATTTACTGCAAGTTATTCTGCCGCTGTCCCTAGCTATTGTATACCGTGAAAGAAGAAAGTGATCGCTGGCAAGCCGATGATCGGCGGCACAACTGCCAAATACTTGTTCTAGTTTATGACCCCTTCGACTTTTGATATCAGATCCAGCTAAACGGCAAGCAAATGTCTCTAGACGAAGCACTACTTGATCGAAGATCATCTCTTCTTATGCTTCTACAAATACGTGTACAACAGACCAATGACTTGTTTCTCAGGAAAAGATTTACCTGTTATCATGTCAATACATCAGCATCGTTGTGGGAGTTTATGTATAGCTTTTCCCTAATGAAGATATTATACGAATCGTTGTTGTTGTTGCAATAGAAATCATATTGGCAATCTTCATATTATCTGAGCGATTTGGTAGGAATAATAATGTGAGACAATTCACTAAAGGAAACATTGCATACTTACTATTAGTGAAGTTGTTTCGCGATATTTGCCACTGCAAAAAGGACAAGCATTAAATTTTTTAACTTTCTGTGAACTTACTTGGACGTTATTCTTGTCACCTAATGACAGTAATGTGTTGTCTACTTAATTACTATTTTTTTTGCCTAAGGAGATTCTATATTTGTATTCGCTTGCCACCAAGGACGTAGCGTTCGCATCATTTTGCTATAGTCGAACGTGATAATAACAAATAACCAGCAGATATTAGTTCATGTAGTATGACAAAAAAAAACTCATCCGTCCACGTCTATGAATTTGTTCCATCATCGGAGTAAGTTAAGTAAAGCTACCTACGCTATAAATGTTTACGTCGTGCATAGTAGTTTACTGTCTATCGTGTAGCGTAATAATTACGTCAGAATATCAGTTGTGCCGTCAGTGATAATTAGTATCGATTTTTTTAGGCATTTCAGAACGCGACAAACTTCTGGAGTTTATAGAGCAGCCTAAGGACACGGTTGCCCTGCGCGATGATCCAGCGCAATTAAATTGCCGCGCTCGTTCTCTCTCCCCGGAGATAACTGATGCAGATATTCAAATTCAGTGGTTTCACAATGGAAAACTTGTTAAACCATCACTTGGGCGTACTGTTTCATTAGGGGTACTATTTCTTGTGTCAGTACATACTCATGACGTGGGTGTCTATTGGTGCCAAGCCAGTATAAAGGGCCTTTCAACTAGACACAATTCAGTGCGTTCCAACAACGCGACACTCCAGATAGCATGTAAGTATAGCTGAGTCAACGTTTTAGCTTTCCACATAATGACAATAGTTATTAGATGCCGGTAGACTTATCTCGTTTTTTCAATTTTCAGAATTGAAAGCATCCATCTCTTCATCAGGTCCTGTTTAAAAAAAAAAAAGTAGATTTTATTAAACAATGTAAACCGGAATTTTGCCTGTGACTAGAGTCGATTGTATGTCTATCATGAGCTAAGAGCAAAAACTACTATAGATTATTTGCTATTTAAAATACACCTTGTTTTTTCATTCGTATTTACCCTCCAGATCTGCGCGAGGAATTCCTAAAAGTACCTTCAAGGAAGGACGTTCCTCAGGGAGGCACGGTAGTTCTTGAGTGCGCTCCTCCGCCAGGACTCCCTCCACCAACAATTGAGTGGCTCAAGGAAGGTGTAGTCGTAAGTAGCATTTTATTGATAATTATAATTATCGTTCTTGTAATCCACCTGGTGCGTGTAGAAGCTTTCCGTTGTAGGAAAGGTGCGATCACGGGAGAAGGTTCCGAGTATTCAAATTCATTTTATATAATCTTTAACCTCTAAATCTGTTTGAAGTGATATAAAACAATATTCTCGATGCTTTACATTACGAACGTTACTACGCTTTACTGTCTCAGAAACGTTTCTTTTGATGGTTTGAGAGAAGGTACCAGCATTTTACTTGTGAAGCGTAAGTTCTCTACGAACTTCACCATGTATATGATATGTGCATAGGTCGTCCTTTTTTTACTTCAGGTACCTTTGCAAGGTCTGACGGAATGTGTGGTTCTGCTGGCTTAGGTCCAAGCTAAGAACCAAGTTTTAAAATTTACTCCGTCAGTGGAGTAAGATTAGGTTGGCCTGATTGCTGACACACAAAAAATTGTATTGACATTGTAGACATATGCGTTGCTTAAACGTTATGTAAAGAGATAGATAGATAGCATCGTGAGCTTCCTTGCAACATCCTTTACTACAACTTAAACAACTCTTATGTAACACACTGTGTCATACGAGACAATATTTTAGTGCCAAATTAATCTTAAGCACCTGGTAACAAAGGCGATACTTACACCGTGCTTGAATATATTTCTCAATAGTACTGTGGACCTAGTAAGCCTCCACTCAAAACGCTAGGTGCGAGGCAGAACGCCCCCATACGAGCTTAGTGGCTAACGTATAAGCCTGCTAAGGTTTATTATACAATTTTGTGGGCTAGGGTGGAACCCTGGCATAGGCAAACGGTTCGCTTCGTACTGGACGCCGGTTTTCCGATGGCAATCTTAACGGCGATACCGGACATAAAATTCGAAATATAGAGAGGCGACATAAAATGAATTCCTCCTATTACAAAAACAAAGACTATTGTAGCGCAACTAGATTCAGTGAACGTATATCATCGCTCTTCTATAAACACGGCTCCGTGTACTTGTCGTATAGTCCGGTTTCCCCATAAACGCGAATGTTCCATCAATATTCCACTAATGCGATCATAAACTAATATCGAGAAATGCACCTGATTATGACGGCTTGCTTGTCTCTCTTAGGAAAGATTAATTTGGATATAAATCACGTCGTTACCACGGTAGCGGAATACATTTTCTCGCTAGATACAAGGAACTTATGAAAAAAAATTCGCCGAACTGCTCCTGATCGTTTTCAAACTTCGGCATCATGTCATAGCCACTTTAAAACTGACTGAACAGACAAAACCACTTTCATTATTATTCTTTGGGATATATTAAGTTGATAAGATCTTGATTTAATTAATGAGGAGTGAATTCATTTTATTTTCAGGTAAATGTAGGCTCAGGACCGAGTAGCCGTTTAAGGCTTGAAGGTTTAGGAAATTTGGTAATCTCCGACGTGCGTGCTTCCGATCAAGGTGGATACGTCTGTAAAGCAGATAATGCCGTCGGTAACAGAGAGACACCCCCGGCCAATCTACGAGTGATATTGCATAGTAAGCTTCTCTCGATTCCTTACATCATACTCTCGTCTTTGAAAATCTATAGCATTAAAACCCGCGATAACGCCATGCACCTTGATTTATTTAAGTAGTTCCACATGCGTACCAAATCGCCCTGCTGGTGCGGAAAATTGTATTCGAGGTCACTGGTCAATATGGCTCCGTTGATGCTTTTGGTTATCAGTGTACGAGGTGGCAAACTTACGACTTCGCGTTGTTAGATGGCCCACCCTAGGGTTAACCTAATTCAGCTGGCTTAATCCATTATTTCTTTTCGTTATTGCAATAAAACAAACTATATGTAGTGCAGAGGAACTAAGTCTTCTGTCTTTATTTCCGCATTATTTGAATGACTTCAATTTTGAGGTATCACTTCCAACGAAACGAGTCCATTAACTCTTGCCTCTGTGTCCATGGGTATTGAGTACGTTACACTATAAAGTTACCGGCATTACGTTACTCATGTTATTATAATTCATAAGACCCATAGTCAGTATAAAAGGTAACATTGTATTGTAACAAACAAATTTGTTATATTTTCTACTTTCTTTTTTAGCCAGTATATTATTAAGCCCATGTTATTATACCAATATGACCGCGTTTGATGTTCGGGTACTAATAATGGCAGTAGTATCGCAACCTTTTTAGCTAAATGGATTAATGCTGGAAGCCGAGTAGTATAAGGTGTACCTAAGAGAGATAATTGAACACTGTTGTTGATACCGGTTCTTGCAATATGCAATATCATACAAAACTAGGCTTTTATAAGCCTAGTTTTGCATAATATAACACATAGAACCTGACAATCATGGAAATGGGATACGTTTTGAACATTCGAGTAGAATGCTTACATAGACGCATTGTTTAAGGTTTATTAACAAAGAATGCATAAAACATAACCGATAATCGAAGAAAACAATTTAGATGATGACCCATTAAAGCCTTTGTCTTAACAGAGTACGAACGACACTTACATACATCTAATATGTGTATATGTAGTGCTTCCACATAGACGAAACCATATATGTTTTCGTTTCGACATGTCATTCTCTCAGTCCCAGTTACCGAGTGGTCCCGCGTACGTTGGTAGCTTATTAAGAGTCTTTGGAAGATGTTCACTACGCTATTGATTAATAAGTTCATTGGGAGAACGTAGCTATGAACAGCGGTAGAAAAGTTACTAATGTACATTGCAATGTCTGTTCGTCAGCGAATTTCCTCGAGCGGCAATATCCCTGATTATATAGTGTGGCCCGTATTATGACCGGACACTTGCGACGCTAACAGACCCGTAACTCAATATAAAGACCTTAGAACAACTATTTTTACCCTCCACTTTGATATAGCGTCCGTCTTTTCTTTCATTTTTGTTTGATCCGGACCGTTGCGGTCGTTTCGTCGTTATCATAGTCTGTTGGCCTTACGCTGTCTGGCGAAGCCATGTATTCACCTACATAGAAAATATTTACATCTAGATCATCTTTTTCGTAGCGCGTGTGTTGACGTCTCAGTTTTGTTTGTGGTTTGCTCGTAACTATCTGCGCGAGCTGACGCTAATGTCATTTGTATTTAGTGGGTCGTCGATCTCGGCCGTGCCCCTGCCGGCATCAACATCATTATGTTGTTCAATAGATAGACATCGGTGCTATGGCGAATTACCATCATTACCTTTGCATACCCGCGTGCACACACACCTATATATATGTACGTGGGAGGCACTTATCGCTCTCCATAGACTTGTAGGTGCTACAATGCTTTTGATACTACTATAGACGCTATGCAGGCGACAATAGTAAAATCCTATCTTCTTTGGCCATTGTCCGTTAAGAAAAGCAGAAGTACAAGCGTGATAATGGTAACAACGAACAGCTTGTGTTTCAGTCCTTTTACGTTCAGCAGAACAGGCTATACAATAACATCGTTGTTATTGTGCGTTTTGGATGTGCGCGTCTGTAGTCTTCTATATGTACATGTTGAGGTACACCTGCACATGCTGTGTGGGGTCTGTGTGTGTATGCCGCTTTACGTGCCACAACTCATGCCTTGTGAATATTCAAAATCCAGCCGTTATCTTGGCGGTTTGCCGCGCAGTCACAATCGGCAGTAACAGAATGAACGCGAAATCGGCTGTAAGAACACAAGCTTGCTTCCCCTATCGCATTTACCTGTGCCATTTGTGCTTGGCATTGCTGGCTCTGGTTGCGGCGGCGTTCCTGGCGTACAAGGCAAACTGTTTTTATGCAGCGTTGACGGGGTCACTCGTTCCAAACCGGTGCGTCGCGTTGTACCCAATGCTAGTACTAATTGAAAAAGGTAACCGTCTGCATGAGCGACATCGTCGTCGTCGTCGTCATCGTCGCGTTGTCTGTCGATCCGCTAACAAACACGCGAGTGGCTGATGCTAATTCGTGAACCGTTAGCTCATAGCAAGAAAGACAGAGTCATAGCCACACATATTCCCGCTAAAAGCTCACAGATGCTGGTCGGCGCCAAACGATCCTATTCTCGACTTCGTCTAATTTGTCGGTTACTTGTGAACACTGAACAGAACAGCGACGCTTATCTTCGGCGGAAGCGTAGAGGTTACTCAGCAAATGTGGAAAAAATAACTCGGCGTGAGTACCACACGCTCTTTTCGTACTCTCAGCCATAAATAATAGCAGCACCTACTGGAGCTTACTTACAGCTCTTCGATGGTGGTTCCAAAGTTTACCGGCTGTTAGTGCATTACAAAGCAGCTGAGATCTGCTCTAGTCTAAAGATGTTCTCTACGTTCTTCCATCTTCAGATCTTTTCCCGTAACTTATATAGACAGTTTTTAAAAAGCATCGACTCCTGCCAAATTTGAGTCGTAAATCGTTTGATCAGAAATCGGACTTTAACAATATACAATGCTATGAGCTTATTGCTCATGTTATAATTATATTTATGTACTGTTTGTTGTTACATAGAGTTTTATATCAATAATTTAATTCAATTTGGTTACTGTTGGGACCAAGCTTTACATTCGGCTTGGATGAACTGACTGGTGCCAGGCCGTACGGAAATTGTATTCCTCAAAATCTTATGAGAGGAAGAAAACTGACAGCTTTTACTTTTAAATTTCAGATAAACCTAAACTGATTATCGTCCCAGAAAACAAAACCGTGCTGATACCGGAAAACGGTACGATAAAGGTTTTGTTAGAGTGTTCGGCGGCAGGGGATCCTCTGCCGCGTATCCTTTGGCGACAAAATAGCCACGAATTAACGGGGAGATCAACTTTGTCCTTTTCGGCCAACGATGGGCTTACAATGACGGTCGAGGAGGATCGACGGGGTTCGGTCCGTTCATCTCTCGAAATTAGCGGCGTACGTCCAGACGATCAGGGAAATTATACGTGTGAGGCTGAAAACTCTGAGGGACGGGTTGCGGCAACAGCACAGCTAACAGTGCATTGTAAGTTTTGACGTTTGTTTACTAGAAGAAACCTCAGAAGAGAGGACAATTAGAGGGGAATTATCGTTAGCTACCGTTTTTGTTCAGTTTATTACCTGCATAACTATTAATGGGTCGATTGATCCGCAGACCGCCCAAGATGGGTAATGCCTCCTGAAGATCGACAGGTCAAATTGTCCAATCCACTGATCTTGAGGTGTGAGGCAACTGGAAATCCATCTCCTGAAATTTCGTGGAGTCGCGGCTCGAGCCGCTGGGTTCTCTCTCCTGGGGAAAGCGATGGAGACATGTCGGTCGATTCGTATGGATCGCTACGAATACCACGCACCGCCCTACATCATGCCGGAGTGTACATATGCACTGCCCGTTCACTTCTTGGTGAGTCATGCACTACAACGCAGTAGTTAATTACTCATACAATCTTAATAGAATGTGATTTTTACTTTTTTTTTGTCCAAAGTTATCGAAGGCTTTTAATAATAATCATAATACATTCTAATAAAACATATACACGACAGTAACTAGTTCCACGTTCTTTCTGACTAACTGTCTGCGATTGCTCATGCCAGGTCAAATCACGACAACCGCTCGCGTCGACGTACTCCAGGGAGGTGTACCAATAATTTCTCATCCAGAACATCCCTTAGGCAAAGATCTTTTTTCCTCTCCTTGGCTCCTTCTCCTCCTTTCGGCCATTCTTTGCCTAATTCTAATCTGCGTTGCAGTAACTATTCTTCTTTTACTTCGCAAGATGAACAGCAAAACACAGTCTGCAGTGACGGAAGTACCCGTTGCTAAAGGAGGTGACGTTAAGTAAGTAACAAACTCGTCTCGTCGCTAGCAGTGACCAAGGCATACGTAGCGCTTTATAGTGAATCAGATGAAATGCGACGCTTCAGTTGAAAATGAAGTGTAGCTATGCACGGATTGTTAGTTTTTTAACACATTAACCATTTTCAAAAAGCACCCCTTAACAATATCCCCGACCCTTCATTACGTTCAAGCTTCTTCACGGACTTGCCTCATCCAACTAATACAACAGAGTACTTCTCTCCGCGCCATGAGAAGATGGTTCTTTATGAGAACAAACTTAATATCCTCGACTGCATCCATCCCACGCAAGTATAACTTCCTTCTCTAGCAACTTTAAACTAATGGCGTCTGACTGACGTTCTAACTCGACTAACAAAAGATCCCTATCACTACAGCAAACGATGATTGATATATTACGTCTAGCCTGCTACCAAAAGAGTAGAGGAACCAGCCTCAACTAGAACATCTTAAACTGGTAACCGTTAGCATATTATTCGAAGAAAACTTTATTTCTTCATATAGCATCGTTCTTACGATTTCTACTTTTGCCGTAGAATCGCCATAATTAAGATAACGACAACAGGTTATTAGATTGGGTGGAACACCAATCCAACTTGGCAATATTGAGACCAGTTTAACGGCAGGGCTGTAGATTTCCAGTAGATTGTGAGTGCAGGTGAGGTGCAAACGTGTATTGAAATTGGTAGAATGAAGTGACTGGCATGGAATGATTATTGGCGTGTACACGAGCGGTAGTACTGCTTAAGCTGAGTATGACAATAAAAAGTCAGATTCGTTCAAGTAATCAATGGCAAGTGTCAGTCAGAGCAGTATCGACTGTGGATTTGGCTCAGGCATGGCTTCTATAGATGGTAGCTTGTGGTTGCATTGCAGGCCTCAATTAGGCCAATTCAACACGGAGTTTTTTTCCTAATGAATATCTGTATCGCCCTAGCAGGGAGGCTCCTCGTTCATCTCTGTATTGCAATAGCGGAGGCCCAATACACACGCCGATATCAGGTCCATACGCAGCCACAACAATAGTTCCGCCTGTCCTCCCGGGAACGCGAGTAGGAGACACTGGCAACTACAGAACTGGTGACATCGCAGCTGTCAACAGATCTAAAGCTTACCCGGTAGCCAGAGGCGCTCAGGGAACTCACGAACTTGAAAATCTTTTGCACAGTGGATACTCCAACAGTGCGTCAAGCTCTAGCGAAACTTCGAGTTTCGGTAAAAGAAGCGGGGTGAGTTGGCGCCAAGAGCGATTTGCGTATTTTTATTTCCGACCCAAACATCTGGTAGAGTTCACTAGTAAAACTGTAGACCTCGATAAATGCGCCCTTTCCTGTAACAAGCGAAGACCCAGTAATTCTTTGTCTTTTTGTAGAAAGGGGCGGTGCAACCAGATGTTGTAATCTGGCATGTCCAATAAGTAACCTGGCTTAAATACGACTCATCCTAACCACTTTTGTACTTATTAGCGCTCCAGTCGAAGTAGCTCGAATCACCCAAGAATTCGAGCTCCGTCGCCTTCACTCGAAAGCAACACCGCTACACCCGTAGCAGGTGAGCCCATATATAGCATGCCCGACGAGGATGAGGCGAACCTTAACAAAGCCGGGTCCGAGAGCGGTTTAGAAGTGACGACATCAACAAACAGGTCTGCGTCTCAGCCTATACATCAGTCGCTTACACCTCTCACATCACAGTTGACCAAGCCGTCGAAAAGATTCGTCGGTCAGCACTCGGAGCAAAGGCAAACCAATGTAGCGCTGTCACACGAACAGATCCTTAAAAGAACCCAATCATGAATGAGGTTAGCGATTTTCTGATGGTCGTCCCAGGAGGCACAACGATCATAGCGTTTACATATACGTGATGAGATGATAGTCTGTCAACAAGCAAGATTGACATTTATCCTATAATTTATTGCAAAAAAAGTTAATTACCTGCACAAACGTGATATGCTTGAGGCAAAATGGCTGGAAAGATGGATTACTAAATAGCCCATCCATTCAGCCATGATGTTGATAATTTATCGAAAATCACGTGCGAGCGTTGAACTATTTATAACGTGATACATAGGCCATGAATCAATCAACAGGAAGCCATCTTTGTTAAAAACTGTAAAACACTAAAAGATCGCAGCTAAAATTCAACGCGAAAAGTTATCGAGAAATATTTGATATAAATGGTATCATTTCTGTATATATCTATATATAGCTAGAAGTGATAATCCAGTCTATTCATCCCAAAGCAGCATCTTTTATGGTCGAAACGGAGATAACATGCATGTATCCGAAATCCGTGTCTGTACAGAAATGTATTAATATACGGCAATGACACTGGTATTTGATAGCAGTGACTTGATGTTGTTAGCAAAAATGGTCCTAAACGATTTTCAGGAGTGATGATGACCTATCTATGCGTGAGACTCACTAGAGTTAGAGGTACATTTATTTATATCGTGAGCCAAAACACCGTTTTAACAACTAGTGAATTTGATATACTTGAGAAAGTGTATGTTAGTGCAAAGACTAGGTGTCATAGGGAAACTGTTTACACAGTATCTCCGCTTGATAATAACGAATTTAATAACAATTATATTATTATTATTACTTTTGAAAAATAAAAACCACCTCGTTATGAGGTGTGGCGTGATGGATATGGATATTATGAAGATGCTGTCGTGTGTAAAGGGAAAGGGAAACAGTAGTCAAGAACAAATTACGTCGCCTGTGATATTAAAATAAAGACAAAGTCAATATTATTATTACGTCGGCATAAAATTGTACTAAATGAAGTATTGGCAGTGGAAGTAGTTGCGAGGTGCCATTTGTATAACATGATCATCACAACCCTTTTTCTAGCATTGTGAAATGGGCACCTTACGAGGTGTATTATCCTGTACATAAAAAAATGAGATGTGAAACTAAATATATGTTCTAAAAAAAAAACGTTTTTTGTTCATTAGCTGGTATTATGATTGTGGGTATATTGTACTGCAAAAAAAAAGGAACGGGTTCAGGAACGGGTCAAGTTCAGTGCAGATACGTCATTTGTCCAGATGAAAACTTCTAGATCCTATCTATAAACATACACAGGATCAATGTCTTTGCTTGAAGATGTGATGTTACATGAAAACACCTATCATGCCAGTGGTCATGCAGAGAAACACGGTTCGCTTAGCAGGGCTTATCCGGTCGTTTGCATACTAGGCGCACCTATAGACACAATCATGCGCCTAGGACCCATCCAGGCTAATTGCATTCAATACGAGCTAGGACAGATAGTTTGGCATAGAAGTTACCGAACTGCATCTATGGATATGAACTACATTTGCTCGTAAACTATACTCTGTGTGCTAGATTCGCCTCTCAGCTAAATACATGTTTCCTCGGCAAATCCTTCGATCATTGAGCATTTGTCATTTTCATGCAATAGCATTAATGCGTGAGAACACGTATTAGCGCGTCGGCACGGACGAACGACGCCGAAAAATGATCGTCTTATTAGTTGAACGCTAAACACTGAACCTTCACATAAGCAACAGGCGGTAATTTAGCTTATCGCTGTCAAATTACTATTTTTATCCATTAGATTCGGGTGATGTCGTTGTCCTTTACCGGCCCGGACTGTTGCGTTTGCGAACACAGCTTTAATGAGGTGTCCCCACAGATCGTGTACGATCGTAAGTGGTGTATGGTCCATTAAAAAGCTCCTTCCGGCGCTAGATCCTTTAAATGTTTTTTGTTGTATGTCGACGAAAGAAAAGTACTTCGACCGTGGAACCTCGCCTAGAAAGCAACGGGCCTTGCTAAATAGCGTATTGCTGAAGCGAGAAACGTGGACTCGTGTGAATCGATGAAAAATCTGTCCGGCACATTTATCGTTAATTGACTGATTGATCATACGATCAACTACGACGAACGATCTCCATTCGTTGATTGTTCTTGATCGATTGTTTTCTCTTCCGATAACATTGTTCTTGGTATAACGATCATCTACATAAGCTAACAGCTATTTAGAAATGGTAAAGGTCTGGATTGTGTCCGTAAGGCTGCAAATAGTGGCGCGTCAAAAATTATTAAGGCATCGTGCCCTTTATTACATTTAGGGCATCTTAAGTAACAATAGCAATGTTTTTATCTCATAGCGATTGATCACATAGACAAAAAGAAAAACACCGCTCCATTAGATATGCCCTATAAAATAATTTGGATAATCAGAGATGTATCAACGACCAATTCCAACTGTATTACTTTAGTCAAAAATATATTGTCCTACTATGTTTCTAATTAGAATGTATAAAATCAGATAATCTGTTTCAAGTAATACTTGCGAACAAATTAAATATCATTTTATTTGAAGGACGTACATGCGGAAGGCAAACCCATAAAAATATATTTTTGTCCCTTCTTATAATAAGTAAAAACATAGAAGGGATTTTATCGAGTACCGGTGCCTACATTCGTTAGAACAAAGGTTGAGTTTATAAGATACTTCGCGTTGCCCTTTACACTAATCGTAGTTTTATCGTTGCATACCCGCACGGTACATAGCAAAAGGTGTGACCAGTACCTTTTTTGATGTCGTGTACTCAGTCGGACGTGTCTGACCGTCGTTGCCTTTCTGGTGGGGGCATTTTCGATGTCCGGCTGCCTCCCGCTGTTGACGCTTTCCAATTGTCCCTTCGTCCGATTATTCATCCCTAAACGCAACATCTACCCTTTCTGATCGACGGTGGTGTCACATTGTTTATACTGCTTTCTTAGGTAGATAGCTCCGGTATTACCCGTTTTATTCTGGGGGGGGGGGGTCACTTGCTGGCAGGTCAATTGTTTTTGTGAATATCAGAACACCAAGGACATCAAAGTCTTAGCTCCAAGCTTGGTCTTTTTACTCGTCCTTCACTGCGCTATTAAGCGCCCTATGTTCTTATAAATTCCGTAATGATAACGCTGCTTCTTGTTGATTCCGTTATTCTCGGGCTGATTTTTGTACCTCTTACTCTGTGCCCTTTCGGCCGTTTTAAAGTTTCTATGTACTGTTCCATGGGATATATTGAGGGCGATATTCAACTTCATGGTTGAAGTCAAAAAGCTGTTGGCTACGCTGGAAAGACATCAAAATGCAAATAATTGCTTCATATTAGATGCCATACCACCGAACACCATACGCCTGTTGGCTAAACGTAAAGATGTGGAACTGGCTCAATGATAAGCGTCGTCGTGTCTGATAAATCAACTAACGACTTGTTTGCTGATACATAATTTTATATCACAACAGCTTCGTACATTGCTGAAAAGTTTATTTGTTTATTTATATAACATATCGTTCTACGTGTAGTATAATTATGCGCACCAGTTAGTTTCGTAATAGGAACAGTTTCAAACATACGATGGGATCTCGAAGGTTTGCTTACCGCCTCGCCCAGTAATCGATTCCAGGTTTCGAAATAATGCTTGTCACATGGATTTTGGCGGTCGACTGGCGGGCAGACGCGAGACGCTTGCCGTGCAAGGACGAGAAAGAAGAGTTCCCAATAGAAGCATGCTCGACACACTCACCAGTTTACTCTGTTTGTTCTGGTGCATTTACGTAAACTACATCATCCTATCAGGGAATTATTGTCCACAATGCAGACAGTTTTTGTATACTGATAAAACAATTCTCGTGTCTATATTCGATATATTTGCAACGATTACTGTCGACAATGTAACATTTAGACTTTTTTTTTTTTTGTAAATAAATACGGAACGTTATTATAAATAAAAGGAATGTATTACGGCGATTAACTAATGTGTCCTTGTTTATAATGTTAAAGGGTATATAATAAGGGTGCAGAGTAAATGGGAAACTAAAAAATGAAGTAAATGAGCGGACACAACGAACCGTTCCGTTGCCGAAATCAATCAGTATCTCTACCTGCATAAAATAGACGAGACTTAAGACTGGTAGTGAAAACTGGGGTGAAGCTGTGAAATGATCTACGTAACAGTTTGTACTCCATTACTTTCAATACGCTCAGTTGGACAAGTAACCGTTGTCACATAGCAATTCGTCAATTATAAACAACAAGAATCAACAAGGCTACTGTTAGTGTGTCCGATCTATCTATTTATTTTGCATTGACGATGCACAAACATTTTATATCGTTGTCATCTTTACTCATTACGCTTTTAGGAAATTCAAACTAATCAAGCTCTTATATATATATATATACTCGTACGTATTTTATTGGTCAAAAATGTTGCTGCTTTATATTTATATTTAAAAAGGTTGTTGTTAAGTTTACGTTATTAACAAAAATGCTAAACATTTCCACGAATGTCAGAAAAGATGGGAAACATCACTGCTAGCATATATAGAAAGATGATACACAAACGTTACGGGTTATAGACAATTTCTGCGATGACCTTAAGAGACATTTGTTAGCGAGATGTCTTCTTCTTTTTTCTTCCGATTTTTTAGATGATCATTGTTGCGAAGTTTCAGTTTTAGGCTATGCATTACACGCTTATGGGTTTTTGCCTTGGCTGTCCATATCAAGTTTATGGGTGACATTAGAACTTCACGAAGTTAAAAGTTGATTTTATTTACTATAAGGGAATATCTTCATTCAGTATCGCTCGTGGATGTTTCATACCTTTAACTCATATAGACGCCTGCGTATCCCACACAGTGAATGTAGAAATTCACCGGCCTGAGAAAAAACAGATGAAGTCATTCTTCACGGGGTATATGAGCTGAATTACATAGAATGTGTTCATTACCATGCGCCTAGGTACATCATTTCCTAGGTACCTCTGCTATGATTTCAAGGGCAAAATAGGCGTTAACTGTATACAGACGTTTCCGTGTCGTAGCAATATTGAAGCGTTGAGTTCATGTTTTTCTCGTTGCATACTTTATAACGTCATGAAGTGCCAATAAGTTCAACTTAATTTAAATGGCAAATGAAAAATTACGGTAAATCAAAGACTGTAACTATTGTTTTTAGTAAAATGTACAAGAAGTATAAGAAAAAAATCTGTGCAGTTTAGCGAGCATAGGCCTAGTCTTAGGTAGTTTTCCCCTAAGTCAAAGACTTTAATTCCGCTATCGTCCTCCTATACAAATCGAAGTTAGACAGGAAGTAGTTACCCATTGTGTGAATAAGTTATTATATGTATATTTTTAACAGTATTCTAACTTGCTGGGGACTATTCGCCTATTATACATACAGACGAACATGTAAATGTACTTATTCAGATCGCTATATTATCAGCTGCCTGTAAAGCATGTTTTCTATCAAAAAATTGACCCAGAAAGCCACAGTCGATTTTTTTATACTACTGATATGGGCGTGTATGCAGGGTCTACTTGATAAGTGATAGAGCTAACGAAACGTATTATTATTATGCATCGCACTTTAGGATATCGTCTCTCTCTTTTGATCTTTCACAAATAGAAAGCTGTCTTTTTTTAGCTTCTTGTAAGATGGGAACGAGACAGATACCCGTATGCGCCTGGCCAAGACGTCGAAAAACGTTGATATTCATTAACAAACAGGAAAAATCCCTCGCATTGATCGTTTCAAAAAAATCTGACTTTTCTATGAAACTGCTCTCTGGTGGTTACATTATGACATCCAGCATTAAGATGATCATATTCCTACCTATATGTACGGTAGTTTCACGTTTGCTTTCGAATTGGATGACTCGAACGAGACTGATGACTAGATAGAAACGTGATTCGATGCTACCTAGGAAGGCATAATGGAAATTCAATCTGGTTTAGATCGCCTATTACTGATATTGAGGTCTCAACAGAGCTACAGGCAAAATCTGAGAAGACACAGTGAATAAGCATAAGCGTTATTATCGTATACATGTCCTATTTGAAATGTTTGTTTATGTTGAAATAAGGACAGCGCTGCTTCAGAAGAAAGAAAGCCTGTTGTTACACCGTTGAA